TATATATATATATATATATATATATATATATATATATATATATATATATATATAATGTATGTATGATATATATATACGTGTTTACAAGTCATATCTCAATTTTCATGTTCGCGAAAAACAGGTTTTAGAACACTTTTCAAAAACAGTGTGTTTTCACTATATATATATATATATATATATATATATATATATATATATATATATATATATAATGTATGTATGATATATATATACGTGTTTACAAGTCATATCTCAATTTTCATGTTCGCGAAAAACAGGTTTTAGAACACTTTTCAAAAACAGTGTGTTTTCACAAAAGAAAATTGCTTTTCCAAAAATTCCTTTTCAAACATGTTTATTTTATCATTTGGAAATTTTTCCCAAAGTTTTACTATTTTTGGAATTGATTTGATATTTTTAACGTATTTTCAAAATCAGCCCGAAAACCTGTCAATTGCCATGTATCAGTTTGCGGTCGACCGCCACGGTCGACCGCCAGCAGTTAAATTGCTTACTATGGCTTTTAGTTGTTCGCGATCGATCGTGACGGTCGACCGCCAGCTTTTAAATTTGTTTTTCTGTGTTTTTGTACTTCGCGGTCGACCGTGAGATTTCTACGGTCGACCGCCGAACTCATCATTGCCTTCTCAACGGCTATATTCTGATTTGATTGTCTGGGGCTATTTTGGTCATTTCAAGTTGGTTTTGGCTGATATTTTGAGTGGGTATAAATACCCCATTGCTGTTCTCTTTCAATATCTAAGAGTTTGTTTTTAACAATAAGTTTTAACAAGAGATCAAGAGTTGTTTAAGACCTGTTTAAGCTGATTTCGTTAATCTGTTCCAAAAGAAGTTTTCTACAACAAGAAGAAGCTTCCAACTCCTATTTGGGATCATCATCTACTGTTCTTCTTGTTTATTGAGAAGTTTTCTAAACTCTTTCTTATATAGCCTATTGATTCATTTTCATAATTTCAGCAATATCTATTGAGTTACATATTTTCATTCACTGTTATCACACACACTGTATTGAGCTTAATATTCCATACTATATATTATGGGTTGTGGTGTGTGATTTAGTGAGTGTGAGCTTCATTTGCGTTCTCATTTGTTGTTGAGAACAAACCATTGTATTTAACCTTTATTTGTGAGTATCACTTGTAATACACTTGTACACTAAGAGAAGTGTGATGCAAGAGACGTGGTCGAATCCAATAGGAGTGGCATCGGTTGACGAACCTAGGGAGATGTTGCATCCGAGCACTTGAGGAGGAGGACACGGGCTAGGTTCCTACACTTAGTGTGTAAAGTGTGATTGCATAGTATTTGTTGTGTGAGAGTTTTCGGTAAACTTGTAAAACGAGTGTGTATAAGTTCCGGCTTCCAAACCGGATTGTGATAGTGGAGATCTCCTCGAGGTGAGGAGCGGGGACGTAGGTCGTGGTGACCGAACCTCGTAAACATATCGTGTGTTTGTGTTTTGCTTAGCGTATATTTCATTTGTGGCTTTTCATATCTTTCTTGCTCATATCTATCTCATATCATTCTTGCAAGAATAAATTAATAAATATAATTTTAATTGGAATTTAATAGGGATTAGATTAGCATAAGACCCTAATCACCCCCTCTAGGGTTTAACAAATTAGAGCTTTATTGGTAAGATTAATTGGTGAGTTTGTGTGACTGTGTAATCTTTGTTCGTACTCTTCTTCTCTATTAGTAAAAATCTCATCCCTATCTTGCCCCGTGGATGTAGGCAACTTGCCGAACCACGTTAAAATTAATTGTTTGTGTTTTGTGTCGTTATTTGATTTGTTTGCCCTTTATCTCGACGTTTGATTTGGTTTCTCGAAGCACATCCGTTTGGTTTTGGCTTCCGCCGCGCTCAACACCAACACTAAAGGATCTATATACCTTGGATATTTGCCATGGGTACTACTCACCACATGACCTTTGATCACTCTATCCTTACACAATGTTCTCCTATTTCTGATTCCTTATATAAATACACTGCTAATCGTGCACATCTTACAGCCACATAGCTTGGTAACATCATTTTCACTTGTGAATCATTGGGTAGGCTTGCTTTGTCCTATGTTTTTTGTATTCCTAAGCTTACCATGCATTTACAATTCATTGGGAAAATTACTGATTGTGACTGTACAGTATCATTTATACTTCTTGTATTGTTTAGGATCACACTAGCTAGAAGATTAGGATAGGACGTAGGATCAATGGGTTGTATACTTGTATCAGTTTGAGTATCTCCACCTCCCTCTTTCTCCCACTTCAACAACGAGTCTTTCAGCTACTTTAGATGTGTGGCATCATTAGTTAGCTCATTATCTAGTCCTAGATTAAAAACTTTATCTGAGTCTGGCGTGTTAGGAAATTTTTAGTTTTATTGCTCAAATATTTGTGCCTACTGTCTTTATCCCAAACAATCTATTATGTCTTTTAATTCTAGTAAACACAAGGCTTCGACGAATTTGAATTTTGTACATTCTGACATTTGGGGTCCAACATCTATTACATCTGTACCTAATTTTAAATATGTGTATGCGTTGTTGATGATTTTTCTAGATATACTTGGGTATATCTTATGCACAATCGATCTAAATTGCTAAAAATCTATACAGATTTCACTTATATGATTCATATCAATTCAACAAATGAAAATGCAATTTTCTTGGGTATAGTTCTGCGCATAAAAGTTACCGGTGTTATGATATGGTCTCTTAAAGACTTTGGGTAGTTCTCTCTGTGTCTTTCTTTGAACACATTCCTTACTATTCCACATCTTCCACTCCAAACATTTCATTTCTAGATACCACCACTAATATAGAGCCCACATCTCTTCCTGTACTAGCATACACACCACTAATTTTGAGCCCTCATCTCTTCCTGTACCAGCATACACATCCTCTATAGTTGAACCTACTCTCCCATCTGCTCCACCATGCACACGATTCTACCGCTACAACTGATACTCTGACCATTGCTGCTTCAACTTCCCAGGTTGATCAACCTCCTCCTCACCGTAATCCATCTAGCTTTCGTCAACCTCTGTTCGGTATCAGTCTTTAGCCACCAATACATACTCTTTTGCTTTTTCATCTTTTGTGTCTACTATACACTCTCTATAGGAACCTAAATCTTATTCCGAGGCTAAAATAATCTAGAATGGTAGTAGATAATGAATGAAGAATTAGAACCTTTCTAGTGCACTCATACATGGGATCATGTTCCCTTACGTACATGTGTGAATCCAATGAGCTGTAAGAGGATGCACAAAATCAAAACCAAATCAGATGCATTTTTTGAGTAGTACAAAGAGCTTGCGTTGTTGCATGAGGATTTTCACAAGAGTACAACGGGCATTGTTCTTCTTCTTCTATATGGTGATAACATGATTATCACAGGGAGTGATCTTGTCGCTATCACATCCTTGAAGCAACATCTTCAAGCTAAGTTTGAGATGAAATTTCTTGGCATCAAGGTGGCATAATCTTATCGTGGATATCTATTGTCTCAATAGAAATATATTACTGATATTCTTAATTGTGCTGCTTTGAGTGAACTTGCTGTCCCTACATCTCCTTTAATTTCTACACCAATGGCGCTTCATATTAAACTTTGACACAATGATGATGATCCCCTGCCATAGCCTACCCGTTATAGGAAGCTTATTGGTTCTTTAATATATATATCAGCTACTTGTCTAGACATTTCTCAGATTGTTCATGCCCTCGGTCAATTTGTTAGTGCTTCTACCTCAATTCATTATGTGGTGTTACTTTGTATACTTCATTATATTCGCAGCATCATTGCTTGATCATTATTTTTCAGATCGACGTCCTCTTTTTTGTTATAAGCTTATTCTTATGCTGGATGGGCAGATGATCCTGATGGGCAGATGATCCTAATACTTGTCGTTCTACCACGGGCTTCTGCATTTTTCTTGGTTCCTCTCTTATTTCTTGGCATAGCAAGTACTGTTAGGTTTTAGTCTCCTATTTGAGCATCAAGATAGAATATAGAGCTATGGTTGATATGGCCTCAGAACTCAAGTGGCTATGCTATCTTATGAGTGACATGGGTGTCTCTATGGTGACAACTATTCCTTTGCACTACGATAATAAGAACTCCACTACTATTGCGGCCAATCCTGTATTCCATGAATGAACTAAACACATTGAAGTCGATTGTCGTCTTGCTCATTGGGAATATATTTCAAAGCAGATTATTCTTCCTTACATACCCTCTAAGGATTAGATAGCTAATTTATTCATGAAAGTTCATAATAGTGATTAGTTTTGCCAGTTTTTGTCCATACTCTCGTTGTTTAGTCCGTTGTAAGTTTTTTTGGGGGTGGGGGGTAGGAAAGATATATATCTTGATTATATATGAGTTGTTTTATACCAGAATTACTCTTGCTTATATTTATATATTAATGTACAGACCTATTGAATAATATGTAGTATGTGAGTGGGGGCCACTGATGCGTGACTTTTTTTTCAACCTCCCACACCCGATAGCCAACAGACCGGCCCAGCCGAATAGAAACAACTATATATATAGCTGCTTAATGGTTTCTTAGGTTTTGTAGGCAGGGGCGGAAATGTGTGCAGGAGTTTTGTTTTTCCTCTTTTGACTGCGGCAAGAAGAAACAAAGGAGCAGACGCAGGGGATTTGGGAAAAAGTGGCGGCTGGTGCAAAAGTAAAAGCAGAGGCTTTTCTTTCTAGGGTTTTGTGCATCCTTTTGTAGAGAGATATTGTGAGGGATCAGAGAGTTTGTATGAGGGTTTAGATTGAGTGATTGTAAACCCTAATTGTATTCTCTCCCTCTAATAGTAGATCTCCCCCTCCTTGCCTCATGGACGTAGGCCCGAACCACGTAAAATTGGTCGTATCGCTTTTGTGTGATTTGTAATAGCTTTTTAGGATCCCTCGACAGGTCAGTCCTAGAACTGATGAGAGGAAGAGCCGATATCTCACTTTGTTGAGATATTCGCTTCAGATTCTTATTTCCTTGGTGAGACGGGAATTCTTATTGCGACCTGACTCTCTTGTTGTGCTGTCGAAGTACTACCGAAATTTCCGCTGCGCGCAACAAGTGGTATCAGAGCCCAGATTTCAGATCTAAAGTTTTGGAGTTTGGTGGAGGAAGATTCTTGTGTGAAGCTTGGTTCTTGGAGTTCTAGGCTTTGGTGGAGATAGCATTAGGAGTTACCGTTAGAGATTTCGCTTTCCTCGTATGGATAGGAGTTCTATTTGGAATCCGATCTAGGGTTCAGTTGGGTGGTTCCTAATTTCTATCAAATTTGTTCTTTCTCTACAATTTGGAGTTAGTTTGTAATGGGAGAATAATGTGAAAGCAGCAAGTCGATGGCGAGTACATTACAAGTTGGTTTTCAGAATACTAAGATTAGTGTGGTGAAGTATGATGGCAAAATTAACTTTAGTTTGTGGATGAGTGACGTACAAGATGCTCTCAATGCTCAGAATTTGAAAGAGACCATCATGGTCCATGAGAAGCCACCTAAATATGATGAGGCGATATGGGAGAAGATGAATAGGAACGTGTATGGGGTGATCAGGTCCTGTTTGAAACATGAACTGAAATATGATGTGATTGGAGTGACGTCTGCAATGAAGATGTAGGAAATTCTTAACAACAAGTATCTCACGAAGAGTGTTGAGAACATGTTGCACTTGCTGTGAAGACTCTTCAAATTTCAGATGTCCAGAGGCACCTCACTAGCGGCGCATGTGAACAACTATACTAAGTTGTTGTCGGACTTGGCAAATATTAATGAGAAGATATCGGATGAGTACAAGACGATTATTTTGTTAGGATCCTTACCGAATGAGGAGTATGATACCTTCGTGCTCACTTTGTTGAACGGGAGATCTTCTATCGGCTATAGTAAAGTGACTAACGCATTGACTAATTGCGATTTGAGGATGAAGGACAAGGAGACTTCTCGTGCTAGCACTTCAGGCGAGGCCTTGTCGACGAGAGGTAGAAGCCCATATCCGAAAGGTGATAATAGAGGGAGGTCAAAGTCAAGAAGTCGCCACTAATTAGCAAAGAACTAATGTGCATTCTGCAAGGAGCAGGGACATTAGAAGAGATACTGCCCGAAGCTCAAGGAGAAAGAGAATAGCAAGAAAAAGGGCCCGAAGGCCAATAAGGTGAATATTACGAAAAGCAATGTTTCCGATGATTCGTACTTTTCTCTACCGAGTACTCCGAAGGTGAACCATGTGGATGCATTAGATTGGATGCTTGATTCCAGCACTACATATCATGTGACCCCTAGGCGAGATTGGTTTGCATCTTTTGAGAAGCTCGATGGGGGGAGTTGTTATCATGAGAAATGATCAATCCTGTGGTATTTGTAGAATAGGTACTGTGTGGATCCGGATGCACGATGGAGTAGTCCATGAATTGAAGGAGGTGTGATTCGTTCCTCAGCTGAAGAAGAATCTTATCTCAGTCGGAGCTTTGGAGGCGAAGGAATTCAAGGTGACTTTCGAAAACGCTGTAACAAATGTTACTAAGAGATCATTGGTGGTGATGAAGGAAGTCCGCAATCGAAATTTATATTATCTGAAGGGAAGCACCGAGATTAGCCAGGTTGCTTCGGCTATTTCAGAAACGGATATGAGCAGACTTTGGCACTATAAGTTGGGGCACATAGGTAAAAAGTCACTGCAGGTATTGTGTAAGTAGGGGCTATTAAAGGGAGCTAAGAGTGGTAAAGTGGAGTTCTGTGAGCACTGTGTACTTGGTAAGAAGACGAAGGTGAAGTTTGGGACTGTCATTCATCAGACGAGGGGCATCCTGGACTACATGCACACAGACGTTTGGGGTCCCACCAAGACTGTATCACTTGGTGGTTGACATTGGTTCATCACGTTTGTTGATGACTATTCTAGGTATTGTTGGGTGTACACCATGAAGCATAAGAATGAAGTCCTAGATTTGTTTGTGGAGTGGAAAAAGAGATTAGAACTGCAAACTGGGAGAAAGATCAAGACGTTGTGATCCGACAACGGTGGTGAGTACACATCAGACCCCTTTCTGCAGCTATGTCGAGACGATGGCATAGAGAGGCACTTCACGGTTAGTCATACACCGCAGCAAAATGGGGTGGTAGAGAGGTTGAATCGGTCTTTACTGGAGAAGATCCGATGCTTATTATCACAGAGTGGTTTGGAGAAGATCTTTTGGGCTGAGGCACTTACATATGCAAGCCACCTCATTAATAGGCTGCCTTCATCTGTGATTGAGGGGAAGACCCCAATGGAGAAGTGGTCGAGAGAGCCAACACGAGATTATGACCAGCTCAAGGTATTCGGGTGCCCTGTATTTTATTATGTGAGAACAGATAAGTTAGAACCTCGAGCTAGGAAGTTCATATTTGTAGGATTCAAGCGTGGTGTCAAGGGATACAAGCTTTGGGATCCAGTTGATAAGAAGATTGTGCTGAGTAGAGACGTCACTTTTGATGAAGCTTCTATCTTGAAGCTTCTCAGCTCTCATCAGGTGGAGAGCGGCCCGACGGAGGAGATATCGCAAGTGGTGGAGATCGATGCAGCTCCACATTATCCAGATGGTACAGTATCCATTAGAGTGCCGACTGAGATGATGCCAGGCGAGCATGACGATAACACGGGGGATACGAGTACTGATGTATAGGATCAGGAACCAACAGCTCAGGTTCAGGATTCGATTGCGGTTCGGAGACAGAGGAGAAACATACAGATGCCAGCACGGTATGCCGACACAGTTGCTTATGCACTTCCGGTGGAGAGTATCGATGAGTTGGTGCCTACTATATTCAGAGAGGCCGAGCAGAGTTTGGAGACTGATTCGTGGCAGGTGGCTATGCAGAAGAAGATGGAATCTCTTCATAAGAATGATACATATGAGCTTATTGAGCTTCCAAAGGGGCGGAAGGCAATTGGTTGCAAGTGGGTATACACGAAGAATGAGTGTATTGAGGGCACTCCATTAAGGTTCAAAGGTAGGTTGGTTGCGAAGGGCTATGCACAGGAGGAAGGTATTGACTATAATAAGGTTTTCTCTCCGGTGGTGAAGCATTCTTCGATTCGGATTTTACTAGCTTTGGTGGCACATTATGGTTTGGAGTTAGATCAGCTGGATGTGAAGACGACATTTCTTTATGGTGATCTTGATGAAGAAATATATATGACTCAGCCATTAGGATTCCGAGCTGCATGGAAAGATAAGTTGGTTTGCAGGTTGAAAAAATCGCTATACAGTTTGAAGCAGTCTCCTCGACAGTGGTATAGGCGATTCGATGGTTTTATGATTGGTCATTCGTACACTCGGAGCCAGTTTGATCCTTGCGTATATTTTCTCAAGTTGAAAGAATGTGCGTACATTTATTTGTTGCTCTATGTCGATGACATGTTGGTTGCCTCTACTTCCAGGTCAGCTATAGATGAGTTAAAAGTTCAGCTTTCAAATGAGTTTGAGATGAAGGACTTGGGTGAGGCCAAACGTATTTTGAGAATGGAGATCGGCAGAGACAAGAAGAAGGGCAGAATTTGTTTGACACAGGTGGATTATTTGAAGAAGGTTCTACATCGATGTCATGTTAGCATGGATACGAAGACAGTTGGTGTATCTTTGGGAGCCCATTTGAAGCTTTCAGCTGGTCTTTCACCGAAGATAGTTGAAGATAGAGAGTTGATGTCGAAGACTCCATATGCGAGCGTGGTTGGGAGCTTGATGTACCCGATGGTATGTACAAGACCAGATTTGTCACAGGCGGTGAGCATGGTATCGAGATACATGCACGATCCGGGAGTGGGTCATTGGGACGCCGTGAGATAGATTTTGAGGTACATTCGAGGTACGCTCAATGTTGGTTTGATTTATGAGCGGGACACTACAGGTGGGCAGTTGTGCATTGGATATGTGGATTCGGATTATGTCGAGGATTTGGATAAGCGCCGGTCTACGACGGGGTATGTGTTTACTTTGACCCGTGCGCCGGTGTGTTGGAGATGCACTTTACAGTCGACGGTGGCTTTGTCTACGACGGAGACAGAGTATATGGCAGTTACGGAGGCTGTGAAGGAGGCTATTTGGCTTCGAGGACTTTTGGAGGAACTTGATATATCGCAGAGGTCCGTCACTATTCATTATGATAGCATGAGTGCTATCTATTTGGCGAAGAATCAGGTTTTTCATGCAAGGACGAAGCATATTGACGTTCGTTATTACTTCATTCGAGATGTTCTTGAAGATGGCGATGTGGAGATTATGAAGGTCCACACGAAGGATAATCCGGCGGATATGCTCACTAAGGTGGTTCCGAGCAACAAGTTTGATCATTGTCGAAACTTGTTGCACATTCGTGATTGTTGAGG